CAGACGCCTCACAGGTCCCCAACTGGCATCTTCATTAAATAGTACCCGCAGTAGCCTGTTTGTGCTGTCCTCTGAAGGACAGATGTGTGAACATGATTGCACAAGGGTTTTCTAATCATCAATTAGCCTTCTGAGCCAATGAGCAAACACATTGTACCATTAGAACACTGGAGTGATAGTTGCTGGAAATGGGACTCTATACACCTATGTAGATATTGCACCAAAAACATTGAGCAGCTAGAATAGTCATTTACCACATTAGTAATGTATAGAGTGTATTTTTTTAAAGTTAAGACTAGTTTAAAGTTGTCTTCATTGAAAAGTACAGTGCTTTTCCTTCAAAAATAAGGACATTTCAATGTGACCCCAAATTTTTGAACTGTTGTGTATATATATATATATATATATATATATTTGGGGTTCATAATATGGATTACTAATAGTTAATAAACATCCCAATATTATATCATTCAGTTATTTGTGTGTTCCCATCATTTTCAGTGATAAATTCAGGTCATCATCATGTATTGATGGAATATTTCAATTTTGTTTGTTTGTTTTTTTTCATTTAACCTTAATGAATAGCTGACAATCCCCCTTATGATTTCAGATCCCCTCCACCTTCACCGCCAGTCAGGCCATGGCCTTCGATGGCTGTTTCCATGACAACGACATCGAGCTGACCACCTTCCCTCGGATGGCGCCCACGCGGACCACCGACCCTCTGACCACTCCGAGCCAGAACTCAGACCTGCGGCCCCCGGCGGGGACCCGGTTGCGGCGGCAGCGGTCTGTGCGGGAGAATGTTGACCTGCTGGTGAACAACAGCTACATGATTGACTCATACTCACGCCTGGCCTTCCCTCTGTCCTACCTGCTCTTCAACACTGTCTACTGGAGCATGTACTCCTGAAGTGTTCACAACCTCAGACTTTAATGAGCTGTCTGCTAAAACACCCAACAATATGTTGAAAACTGTTTAACTCTCAATTAGTGGTGTTTAACATCCAGAGAGTAAAGCTATATTTTTATTTTTTAAAAGTTTGTGTTCTTTATGTGCTTTGTCATCATCTCATGCTAAAATACTTTATGCCCAAGAGCTAAAATAAAACAAATTGATGTAGAAATTGTTGTTTAAAGGGAAACATTTTCTTAAATTTGATTAATTTGATCTAGGAGATCAGGAAAAAGAAGCTCAAACATATTAGTTATACATTTCTTACAGAGATTCAGCTTATATTTACTTTATTTACATAAATCCATTCATCTGTTTTTATAAAATAAACAGGTTCTCCCTATAGCCAGATATAACCTCTATCTTAAGGAATAATTCTTTCTCTCATCACTCAGCTGTTTTTCTCCATTTTGAGCATGCATGAGGGGACAGTAGAGAGAACCAGCTCCTTTTTAACAGTTTGAAATCTGCAGTTGGATCTTACTCAGTATGTGCTGCCATTTTATAGCACTAAGTGAGTACTAAAAGATCATGGATAAGATACTGAATAACATCATAATCCTGAACCAGAAGTTCTTTCCAAGGGTCAGAAAGTCCCAGGGGGAAAAAATCATTATTTGTGAAAAATTCTGCTTTAGGAAAGAAGCCAGACCATTACATCTGCATTGTCT